TCCGAAAGAGAGGCTGGCAGTGAAGTGCTGCCATAGCATCCAGGTCCGCATCCGAGCTTCAAAGAGGAGTGAAGTGGGGATGCAAAGCATCCAGGGCTGTATCTGAAACCCAGAAATCCGGGCCTATAAATACAAGGTCTGGTAAAGAGGGTATTTTGTGTATTTAGGGGTTAGGGTTCTTGAAGTGAAGGGCAATTTTGAGCTCAAATCAAGTCCAATCGATCAAGGTAAGTTGTTAAAGATGTTTTGGGTTGATTATTACTAAATATACATGAGTTCTAACATCATTCTTACATCCAAATACAAGATTTCATCATCAAATCCTCAAGAACACAAAAATCACCAAAGTTGTGATATTTCAAGATTGATCTACTAGAGGTAATTCCAATGCTTCAAACTCATTTATTATGAATAGGCGTATGTCGGAAGGCGGCCTAGCTGATCGGGTGGAGATCAGACGCCATATTGCGCATATGGTGGTACTACTCTTGGTAACAACTTTCTTTCGCATCACATGTCAAACCTCATTGTTCGTGGGGAGATGGCCTAGCCGATCGGGCGTGATCGGACTCTGTGCTAACAAATACGGTGGTATATCGGTGCTAATGATCTCCCAACCAAAATTGTAAATGAAGTTCGTGTTTTGAAAATTATTATATTTTATCTGAACATTTGGATATTGTTGATTATGACTTGTTGTTTCTATGTGTTGCCTTTTCTTACATGGGCATTCTATTTTTGAAAAAGGACTTTTAGCTATGCATACTAGTGCTATTCGACAGTACTAACATCCCTTTTGCCGGGGGCGCTGCATCTTTAATAGATGCAGGTGGTTCAACAGCAGGCGACATTGATCAATGATAGCAGTGCACTCTTTTCAGCTGATTTGGTGAGCCCCACTTCATTTCAGAGTCATTTATTTGTTTCTCATGTACTGTGTTTTGAGGTATAGCGGGGGCTTTGTTGCCGGCATTTCCATATTACTCTTCTATTGAACTTACAGGCTCCGTAGACAGGTTGTGGGTTATGATTGATGTTGGGAATTGAACTAAAAATGTTGATAATTGGAAATCATATTTTTCATAAATTCTATAAACTCGTAATATGTTGGAAATTATGAATGAAACTGCTAATGGGAATGAAAAGGAAGTTGTTAATAAAATCTTTCAGTGAATGATTAATGGAGTACATCTCCTCTTTATTCATGGATGAGTTTGGGTAGAAGGAAATCTAATAGGCTTGCTCGGCCGGGTTCTCTCGATTGACCGCCGGTCGCGCTCCCCGAGTTTGGGGTGTGACAGTATAGAAGTTAAACTCAAATCCATATGGAAAGATTTAGAGTTGTGAACCTGCTGCATTGCTGACATAAACTCAAATGCATATTGAAAGATTTAGAGTTGTGAACCTGATCTCATGTGGTCATTCTAGTTATGTTTGCAAATATTATTCCTTTGTGTTCCATTAAAATAAAAAGAAAAACTCAGTTTTATCAAGAACTACTCGATTCAAAACCAAAAATGGATTTGATATAATTCAACATAATCTAAAAAATATCAAAAACAGGAATGATTTAAAAAATTAGTCAAGCTAGGCCCTGAATTAACTCTATACTTCTTCACTTTTTATTTTCATTATATATAATCTTCAATGCCTATGAAAGTTGAGTGATCAAGATTGAAATAAAGGCAAGAAAGTTTGAATATTCTGTAGGCACCATACAAACATAAGGACTTAGAACAAACTCTATGTTCTAAGTCTTTCCTCTCAAACATTTGAAAGTCAGTCACCCAAAAAAAAGCTGAACATTTTCTCAAAGCTTCCAAACATTAAATAAGTACAGTATTTCTTTTAGAAGTTAGTTCAGGCAATACTACAGACAACTTTTTAAGTCCACCCCAACTTTCTATTTAGCTTCTATAACAAATCCAACATAGGCCCAAGATAGAATCTTTAGAATTTGTTCCTCCCTAAAGGCTAAAATATGTAAAAGCCACTAAGATAGAATCCTTAAATAAATCAGACTTTTACCCAGAATATCTTCTTCCTCATGCAACAACTTTACCAATTAGCGCAGAATTACGCAGCGACTATACAACAACAAAGAGCCGGTAAGGTAACATACAAGAATATGCATCATAGTAATGACACTAGCTAGGCAACCACAGAATTATGCAACGACTAAGTGCCATAGGCAAAGTAAAAAAATTACTAGACTATTCAGACTTTGCGAGAGAGAGAAAGAGAGAAGTGGTAGAAGAAGAAGCACAAGGAAAGAGGAGAAGAAGAAGAAATAGAAGAAGATGTATAAAATTTGGTACGTACTGACCTTGAATGTTACTACCAGCAGATGGTCTATTGTTTAGTTGAACATGAGCTTGTTGTGCAGAGGAAGCTTCTACTGGTATCATGACCGTCTATATTTCTAAATGTATCATGTAGTAGTCCATCAATATCATCACACTTGGTAGAATCTTCATCATCATTGCTTGGATGAGGTGTATTTCTCGAGGAAAATCCTTCCCCGTGGAAAACCCATTTGGTAAAACCATCAACAAATCCATGAACAACCAAATGATCCTCTAACACATTTATCACCATCATCCATAGATATCCTATACGATAAAAGTAAATCAACAAAACTAACCAAATAAACCAAAAACATATTAATTTGACATTGACAACTGCTTTTAAGGGTGGAACTCAGAAAGTCACAAACAGTAAAGCAATTTTGGCATGAAAGGCAGAATTACTTTTCTGTAATGTAACATGATATTTTATGTTTTGACTTCTCTTACCATAAAGCAAGTCTTCTAACAAAAGTAAAAAAAAAAAATCTTTTTTGTTACATTGTCACCTTCTTTATAAATATTAATATTTAGTTTCATTATTAACCATTTAATAAAAGTTAAAAACATCGTTGGTTATCAAATTTCTAAATCTTCCTTTGATGAATATAACATTGCATTGGTTATCAAATTCAATAATTTTGTAATAAAGTTAAACTTTACCCTGCAATTATTAAGATATAACTAGAATTAGAAAAACAAAGTGTGAAATATTTTCAAAAAATTTGACCATGTGATAGAAGAAAGATGATGAATCCCTGACTTGATCAACCTTGTATATTTGATGTCCAGAATTTGCCTAACTGGAGAAATACCTTCATCACTATTAAAATGTAAAGTAACTTACCAGTAATTATACCTTTAATTAAGTGACCCATAATACCATTCTTCTTAAAACCTACACTGCATATTCCATTCTTCTCGTTCCCTTTTTATTGACAAATTTTCTGCTAAATTTTCCACAGATCTAACAATATTTGTAAAATGCCGTAAAAATAATTCCCAAAGTAACAAAAACAGTCAAGTTTTTGACATAAAAAGATCCTTATTCCTTAACGAGCTAAATGTCTTCACCACAATAGCATTGAACCTTCTAAAGCTTAACGAATATTTTGCTATCTTTTGTTCAACTTAAGGATTATTTTGCCATCTTTCGTTCGTTTTTTTGGGGGATTGGCATTTCATTTTGTATTGAAAAACAAATTACAATTAAACTAACCCAGAAAGAAAAAGATTCAGAAAAACATCTTTATGACAGTACTTTTGTCTATTTTCTCTTAAATAGGCAGAACGATAACTCCTATTTGCAGACAACAAGAAGTAGGCGACTTAGCATTTCCTAGAAAAATTAAACAAAATGCCTTATGTTTACCAACAAAAAGATGAAAAAGTCAATATAGATTGACACAATAATGGATAGTAGGAAAAGATTTAAAAAGGCGTCAAAAAAACTTACCGTCGCCGTCAGCCTCGAAACACTGGTGTTGGATTTAGGAATTTGGAAGAACACCTGGTTTGGGGAAGTACTCGCCGTCAGCCTCGAAACAACCGAATCAACTTCTACTATGATACTGAGGAAATCTTTGGGGGAAATGAAGACTTGAGTCAGTGATGCCTTGACTGTTGTAAGAGGAAGGATTTTGGAAGTTTAAAGTGAAAGAGAAGAGATGATTTTGTGAGAGAAGAGGATTTAGTGAAAGAATAGGTTTTGATTCGGGATATCTGATGCTTTGGATGCATCGACGGCTTAGTGGGGCAAGGGCAAAATAAAAACTTTAACCTAATATTAATATTATTAAAATTAGATAGTCAAAATAAAATAAAAGAGGGGTTATTTTGGTGGGTTAGCGAAATTCAGGGGGGGAAGTAAATAATCGTTCCAATAGATTATTTTCCTATAAAACTGTTGCCATAAATAGTTCTATTGGAACTGTTCATAATAGTGTTGCGATAAAAATATCTATGGCAACGGTTCTATTACAACTGCAACGGTTTTATAGCTGCAGTGTGCCGATATCACCTAAATTCTATTGTAACGGTTGCAACCGTTAAGATATGTGGTCTACGACAACGGTTTGTGAACCGTTATAAAAATAACTGTTGCCATAAGCCTATTTTCTAGTAGTTGCTCGACCAGTTTAATGTGGGATTTGTGTTGCGCTGGTTTTTTATGTTTCGACATCGTTTCTACAAGCATAAATGGAATATATTAATAAAATGAGCTCCAAGTTATGTTTCTATTGAATCATTAGATTTGTATCGTAATTACGGAGCCATAGCAAAAAGAATCGTCAAATTTGGACATCGTATGAAGGAGTTATGCCCATTTTAGTGTCGGAGAAGTTAATTGTTGCTATTGCTTCACAGATGCAAATTGGGGTCCACATCTACAACCTTGCAGGTGCAAATAATGCTCCGAAATATGGAAATGACAGCAGGAAGAAAGCAGGTGTGGCTTTTTGGGCGAAAAAGCAAAAATTCCTGTGTATAAAAAAATCAGACTGCGTTCATTTGGTATTTTGAGTATATCTCGAGTTCTAGAGCTCTGTTTGAAGTGATTTTTACGGTGTTCTTGTTGTTGTTTCTTGGGAGTCAGCGTGAAACCTAACTTTTTGTATTTTAACATGATTACACAAGTTAATTTTTGAAATAATCCATGTTGTGATTGGAGAATTGTTGTTTATTATCAAAAACTTTTCTAAAGAGAATAATTGGGTTTTGAACATCGATTCGGAGTCGGAATTGGATAAAATTAGTATGGTTGGACTAGTATATGAATGAGCTTTCAGAATTTGTGAGTTTAGTCAGGTTCGAAGGTACAAGCCTAGGTTGACGTATTTTTTTGACTTTGGGTATTTGATTACAGATTTGATCTTTGTCGCTTTGGTTTTTTTCCTATGGCATTAATTTAAGTTTTGAGTTGCTTTTGGCTAGTTTTGAGCCATTCAAAGGTTGATTCATGCGGGATGAAATTTCTAGAAGTATTGTTTGGTTTGCTTGGTATTGTATTTGGATTGATTGAGATAAGTATCTTAACTAAACTTGGTTGAGGCACTAGTTGCCAGAGTTATTTGTGATAGTTACGTGCTATGGGTGGCGCATATGTGTGGGGTTGAGCCCATGTGTGAGCATAGGGGTATTTATCCATGCTCGGGTAGTGCTATAGGCCGTGGATTGATGATTAAGCTTTATGCTATGATTTTTCTAATATTTTTAACCTTATTGTGAGCTATTTGACCCATGTTTGCGGTTACATAGATGCTAATCTCCTTATTGAATTCGATAGTTTCTATTTTGCGATGAAATTTCCGATTTGAGCTATATTAGCACACTTTGCACATGCATACATCTTAACATGTCATATATACTAGTCAAAAATATGAAATCTGATATTCATTGATCATATACATGTATTTTTTTATATTTGACATGTGTGTGATATATTTCGGACTAGTAGCTCGTAACCACGACCGGCGGATTGTGTTGTTATGCCTGTGACCATGCTGGGCGGACTGTGATATAACCAAGCCTCGACGGACTCAAACCAACCGATGGAGGAATGACATCTCCGACCATACAAGGCCTCAAATGGAGCCATCTCGATACTGGACTGATAACTGTTGTTATAAGCAAACTCGACCAATGGTAAGAATATATCCCATAGCCCTCCAAAGTAAATCACAAATGCCCTGAGCATATCCTCCAAAATCTGAATTGTCCGCTCCATTTGCCCGTCGTTCTGCGGATGAAAGGTCGTGTTGAGCTCTACCCGGGTACCGAACTCACTCTGTATAGCTCTCCAGAAGTGTTAATCTAACTGAGTGCCTCTATTTGAAATGATGGAAATAGGCATGCCATGCAACCGGACGATCTCCTGAATGTAAATCTGGGCCAACCTCTCTGAAGTGTATGTAGTCATCAGCAAAATAAAGTGTGCCAACTTGGTCAATCTGTCGACCATGACCCAAACTGCATCAAATTTCCTCAAAGTTCGTGGCAAACCAACCACGAAATCCATAGTGATGTGCTCTCACTTCCACTCCGGTATAACCATCTACTGAAGTAAGCCACCTGACCTCTGGTGCTCGTAGTTGACCTGTTGGCAATTCATATATCTTGCTACATCCTCAACTATGTCTTTCTTCATCTTCCGCCATAAGTAATGCTACCTCAGGTCACGATACATCTTCGTGGTAGCTGGATGAATAAAATTACGTTAATTGTGCGCCTGCTCTCGAATCGTCTCCCTCAGGCGATTAATATTAGGAACACATAAGCGACCCTGGAGTCAGAGGACACCATCATCACTGATAGTAACCTCCTTGGCATCACCACGTAACATCGTTTATTTAAGGACCAACAAGTGTAAATCATCATATTGACAACCTTGATCCGCTTGAATAAAGATGATTGGTCTATGAAATATCCAACCTCACATGTCCAAAGCTAATGGCCTCTCCTTTACTGAAATGAATGCCAAACTACCCATACTCTCGGCCTTTTTTTTCAAGGCATCCGCGACCATATGTCCCTTGCCCGGATGATAGAGGATGGTAATATCGTAATCCTTTAGTAACTCAAGCCACCTACGTTGCCTCATATTAAGATCCCCCTACTTAAACAAATGCTGCAAACTATGGTGGTCGGTGTATACCTCGCAGGACACTTCATAAAGATAGTGCCTCCAGATCTTGAGAGCATGAACTATCGTAGCTAACTCCAAATCGTGCACAGGGTAATTATTCTCGTGGGGCTTCAATTGACGTCAATCATATACTATAACTCGCCCCTCCTGCATCAATACATAATCCAAAACAACGCGTGAAGTGTCGCAATATGCAATTTACATCCCTGAACCAGAGGGCAAAACCAACACTAATGTTGTAGTCAATGCGTTCTTAAGATTCTGAAAGCTCGTCTTGCAATCATCAAACCATCTGAACTGAGCATCCTTCTTGGTCAATCTACTCAAAGGAGCTGAAATAGACGAGAAACCCTCCATAAACCGGTGATAATAACCTTCTAGCCCCAAGAAACTCCCGATCTCGGTCGTCGTGGTAGGAGGAGGCCAATTATGAACTACCTCGATCTTTCTGGGATCCACCCTAATACCCTCACCTGATACAACATGCCCAAAGAAAGCCATAGAATCCAACCAGAATTCGCAGATATAGAATTTAGCATATAGCTTTTGTTCCCGCAAGGTCTGAAGCACTATCCTCAAATGCTGCTCGTGCTCCTCCATACTACGCGAGTAGATCAATATGTCATAAATGAAGACAATGTCAAATGAGTCAAGATATGGAATGAACACCGGATTCATCAAATCCATAAATGCCACTATGGCATTAGTCAAGCTGAAGGACATCACTAGAAACTTATAGTGCCCATATTTTGTCTGAAAAGCCATATCGGAATATCCAAAGCACGAATCCTCAACTGATGATACCCAGATCTCAAGTCGATCTTCGAGAATACTCTAGCACCCTATAGCTGATCAAACAAATCATCAATGCACGACAACGTGTACTAATTCTTAATGGTGACTTTGTTCAGCTGGCGGTAATCAATTCACATCTGCATACTCCCATCCTTCTTCTTCACAAATATTATTGGTGCACCCCAAGGCGACACACTCGAACTGATGAACCATTTCTCGAGAAACTCCTGAAGCTGCTCCTTCAAGTCTTCCAACTCCACTGGAGTCATGCGATAAAGTGGAATAGAGATAGGCTAGGTTCCCGGTGCTAAATCAATTTCAAAATCGATATCCCGATCCGGTGGCATACCTGGTAGATCAACAGGAAATACATCAGAAAATTCCCGCACACTGACACTGAATCTATCATGGGAGTCTCCACATAACAGTCTTGGCATGGAAATCGAGAATGGCATGGTATGGAGACAACCAATGCATTCCCAAGATAACCTTGAAGTCAATCATATCGAGCAATCAAAGATCCACTCTAGTATCATAACCGCAGAAAGCCACTACATAGGATTGATAAACCCGATCCACAATAACAGAATCACCCACGGGCATGGAAACATATATAGGAACACCCAAGGACTCACGAGATACATCCATACATGGAGAAAATAGAGAAGAGATATATGAATAAGTAGACCCTAGATCAAATAGTACCGAAGCATCTCTACAATAGATAGAAATAGTACCTAAGATCACTGCATTGGAGGCGACTGCCTCTAGAAATGACTGGGAAGGAATAGAATCTAGCCGGAGTTCCACCTAACTGGCCTCCACCTCTAGGGCGACCCTTGCTCACCCGCTCTCTGCCTCGGGCCGGGCAGGCGATAGCATGTGCGATAATCATGGGCCAATGGTCTTGCTGCACTACCTTTCCCTGAAGTCTGGGAAAAAACCTCTTCATATGGCCCAACTCCCTGCACTAAAAAAAACTCTATGAGTGGAGAACTGCTGAATCTGAGTCTGGCCTTGATATCCTGAATTCCCGCTAGATGTGCCCTGAATAGCTGGCAGACGCTAAGTACTCTCTGGAATAGCACTAGAGTACGGTCGTGCTGGAGCACCTCGAGTAGTATTTGGTGCTGAATGCATGGGCCTGCTAGGATGGCCCCTCATAAATTGAACCCTGCCCCCAGACGGGGCACCACTAAATCCACCAAAATGCTAAGGCCTCATATCCCTCAATGTACACTCTCTGCTCTAGTTGCAGATACGCTCGATCCTTCGAACTATCTCCATGGCTTGTAGGAATGGAGTCCCCAAATCT